AGATCACCTACAGGCTGCTTTGGGGAGAACACACTGCAGAGTATAAGAGCAGAAACAGGGAGCCAAGGAGGAGGCTCCTGCATCAGGCTCAGCAAGTGATAATGGGGACTCAGACATAACTCAGTATCTACTTTGTGCCAGCAACTGTGTGAAGCAAATGACGTGACTTGCCTCAGTCACTACATCAGTCCTTTAGCCCTTTTCAGATGAGGAAACAGAGTCCCAGAGAAATTAAGTAACTTGCTCAAGGTCACATAGGTTTCCAAGGTCAAATCCTTAACTTCCACCCAATAATACTCTTCTTCTTCTTTTCTTATTCAGTACCCCACAAAACTTCCAGAAGATGTCTGAGAGGCTTCATTCCAGAACTAAAGTCAGCCAAGGAGTATTTATACCAGAAATATGGATGGAGCTTCCTAGTAGACAAGGCAAAGAGAGAAATCAGGGAAATAACTCATATCTCTCATTCCCTGAAGGATCAGCACCTGCTGGGTACAAAGTCTGTCAGAATTAAGAGGTGGGAAATAGGAGGGGCTGAACCTTTATGGCCCATCCCAGTCTGGTCCCTTCCAGCCTCCAAATATCCCCCAACACTTTCTACACAGACACACACAGCCCTATGTGGAGAGGGAAATCCTTTAGGGTTGGAGAGCGTTGAGGGCACAGTGATTGCCTGCTCCAGAAATGTTTCCAAGCCACTGATTCAGCGCCTCAGAAACTGCCCCAGGTCCTGCAGTGCACATCCAGAAGCTATGGGAGGCCAGCTTTTCTGCTGCTGAGTCAGGACCCCCCACTTCCTGCCCTGGGCATCCTCTACTGTCAGTCCCTACAGAAGCAACCTCCTTATACAGTGACCTAAGCAGCAGATGGCTAGGTGAAGGGGTGTGCAAAGCTGAAAGGTAGCTAATCCCACCACAGACTCTGCACAATGTGACACTCCTACCCAAAGATGACGAGAAAGACCCCCACCTGGCTGGTGAGTCACCGTTATAATCACTCTTAAGACACACTTTATCAAAACTATGAAAGTGTTGCCAATTGTGAGCAGTCATTTTGGACCATGAAGCAGTAGGTGAGGTTGGCAGAACAACTGCACAGAAGGAGCCAAACTTCTGGTGACGTTGGAGCTGCCACGCCAGCTGTGAACTACCTGCCTCCAAGAGAGAAATTCCCTTGTGTTCTTTTGAAGCTACTGTTGTTTGTGGTGGTGTTGGCATGTGCAGCCAAACTGAATACTAAACAATGTATCAGACTTCTCTGTCTTGGCCAGTGTGTCAGTAAACAAAAGTGATATGGGGCCTGTGCAGGGGTAATAATGGTGAATGGGGGACAAATTGGGAGTGAATGGGGGCAAGGAGAGGCAAAGGGTGATGTAATGGAGGTGAATAAGCAGGTAGGATGGCGTGAATGTGGGTAATGTGGGGCAGAGTAGGGGAATGACTACACCTTCAATTTTGAATTAATTTGAGATTATGGAGGAGACTAGTAAATGGGAAAATTAGGCATAGTCTAAGCAAAAAAAAGTGAAAGTGGGAGAAGATTGTGAGTGATTGGAGTCGATAAAGCATTAGCATGTAAGATGATATGAGTACTAGAATTAGAGTGTGAACGAATGGTGGTTATGAGGTACAATATGAATGAAGAGCAGTGAATTCAGGGAGAAAATAAAAGCGACGGGGATAATGTGGGGCACAGAGGAAGACCGGGATGCACCAGGGGCAGAATAAGAGGGAATGAAGATGAATTAGTTGTGGAATGTGAATAAATATGTGACTTCAGGTGAAGTTTGAGTAGTGGTACTATAAGGGAAGAGAATAAACAGAGGTGAACAAGTGGCAGACTGTGACGGGATAAGGGTAATGCAGGCAGTGTTCTAGGAATGCGGAGGGTATATGAATCCCAGTGTGAATCAGCAGAGGTGACTAAGCTGAAGAGTGTGCATGAATGGAGGTAATGTTGAGCAGAATGAGGGCGAATGGACATAAAGATCAAAAGAAGATAAGTAAATATGGGTATTATGGGGCAAAGGGAGAATGGGTGGCGGTCACATGGTCCAGGGTGAGTAAAGTGGAAAGAAGGGACTCAATGTGAGAAAAAAGTGGTGTATTTGAGGCAAAATGTGACTGAAGGGGTGTAAAAACGGCATGGAGGCGGCATCTGACCTCTAAATTCACAAGGAGGAAGGAGAATCAAGATCAACAGCTCACAGCTGATTCCTATGAGGCGATGGTCAGACATGCCTCCTCTCTCTGCCATCTTTACCAATTCTGACACCAACTGTCCCTCCCATAGCACTCTCTACTTCTCTGCTGGATTCAATAATTCATTGCAATGGCCACACAGAACTCACAGACAATACTCACAGTTACTGAGTTTATTGGGGGAAGTAACAGGTTACAATTCAAGTTCTGGAACACTCAGGATACAGATCTTCCATCAGGACAACTGTTTTCAGCCATGCCCATAGGCATACCTCTCTCTGGCCCTTCAGCCTCTGCCCTGCTCTTGCAAGTGTTACAAAGCTCTTTTAGCTCTGCTGGTAAGTGCCCAGAGGCACCCCACTCCACCAGTAAGCCTCAGCCGGAAGGTGCTCAGTTCTAGCTCCGTGAGTTGGCAAACCTAGCCCCACAAGTGCCCAGAGGCACCCTACTCTGGCCAGCAAGCCTCCTGCCCAAAGGCACTCAGCTTTCTTGCTCCGTGGGCCAGGAAGCCCACCACGCCACCCCTGCTGGTCTTTCATGCTGCCTTTTCCATGCCACTGCTTTTTGACGTCTTCAGTGTTACAGCTCTCTCTCTCAGTTTCTCCTGGTCCCAGGAGCTCCTCAGCACAGGGATTCCAGGTCCAAAGGATGCACTCCACTCTTGGCTGTTCTTCCTTGGCAGTGGTGAGATCCTCTCCTCCCACCCCTGGGATGGCTCATTTTAAGCCTAGTGGGATGGCAAAACTGACCAATCCATTTGGTGGGCCACAATTACTTTATTTGCACAGCCCCGCCCAATCACTTAGGTGGGAGTTACAAGACCATGGCTAGAGGGGCCATATTAAGTAATCCATTGCACCCCAATGGGGATACTGTAGGGCAGAGTGGGAGTGACTAGACATGAATGTGGAGTGGAATGTGAGTGACATGAAGGTAATAGGGGTTGGGTTACATTGGGAGTGGATTTAAATGAATAAGGTGATGAGAGGCAGAGTAAGAGTAAATCAGGGCAATGAAGAGAAAATTCAGAAAGAATGGAGGTGACCAAAGATACACTGTGAGTATATGTGGGTAACTTGAGGTAGTGTTTGATTGGGAGTAATATGGGGCGGCATTATAGGAAATGAGGGTAACATGGGGGCAGAATGTGACAGAGTAGAGGTGAAGGAGGGGCAGAAAGGGAATGAATAAGGGAAATGAGGCCAAGAGTTGATAAACAAAGCTAAAGGATGGACCAAGGGAAAGTGAACAGGAGTCATTTGATGCAGTGTTAGGAACTGTAAGTGAATGTAGGAAATGAGAGTCTGAGTGAGAGTGAATGAAGGTGAATCAGGAATAGGATGTGAGAGAATCTGGGTAATAAGTAGAGGGTTAGAGAATAGCAATAATATGATGCACTGTGTAAGTGAATGAGAGGCAAAGTAAATGAATGAGGGGAAAAGAGGTAGAATGAAAATGGAGGTGAAAAAGTAGTAGAGTATGAGTAAACATATGTAATGTCGAGCAGAGTGTGACCAAATGGGGATAACATAGGGCAGATTCCATTAAATTAGGGTGGAATGGGACACAATAAATGAAGAGACATAAATGAGGTGCCAAGAATGAGTAAATGGAAGGAGGTAATGAGGGGCAGAGGACAAGAAGGTAGTGATCATATTTTGTATAGCATAAGGAATTGGAGGAGGTAGTAGGTCCAGTGTAAGTGAACAGAGCTGACTACTCAGCAGAGTCAGGGGAATGCAGGCAATGAGAGGCAGAGTGAGTGGAAATGGAAGTGACCAAGTGGCAGAGTATGACTGATGGGGATAGAGTGGGGCAGTGTTCAGGAATAGAGGGGAATGCGGGCCTGTCTGTCCTTTGCATGTCCCCAGCCCCCATCTCCCTGCGTCTCCTTATGACATCTCTGGAGTTCTCCCTGTCTTTGTCTCCTTCTATCTCTGTATGTATCTCAGCATCTTTCTTTCTCCTTGTGTCTCTACTTCTTGGTCTCTGACAGAGTTGTCACTGGGGAAGGTGGTGAGGTGCCCAGCCCTCCAGCTTCTGTGTTCCAGAATCCATCATTTAAATCTTTGTTCATAGAGCCCAGAGTTCCAGAATGCTCCTAATTCTGAAAACTGCAGGGTGAATCTGGAGCAAGGAGTCAGCTAGGAGGGCTTGTGGGTGTCACAATGGAGGCCTGGGGCACTGTAGTGGCAATCCTGGCCACACTGATGGTTGCCACTGTGGATGCCAAGATCTATGGACGCTGTGAGCTGGCAGTGAAGCTGGACAAGGAGGGCCTCAACGGCTTCAAGGGCTACACCATTGGAGACTGTGAGACTCCAGCTGCCCCGGGTCCTGTCCACACCCCAGGCCAGCTATTACACTCAGACCCAGGACCCCTTTGTCATTTATCACCTCCCCAGGCTAGGACATGACCCTCTTGGTCACCTCCTGACCAACTGTGATGGGTGGTTTAACCACCTCTAATGTCATCACCATCATTGCCTTCACAATCATCACCTCCATCTCCACCATCAACACCATCAATTTATCACCATTATTATCACCATTTATGCCATCACCACTGATATCTCACCAGAGTCACCAACATCAATAACACCACCAGACCAAGATCATCACCCCCAAAACTGAGAGCCAACCATCCCTATTCCCACCCCCCTCCCCTATTCCCAGTTCCCATGCCTACCTGCTCCCTCCCCTCCTCCCCTGGCCTCAGGGATGTGCATGGCACACTATGAGAGTGGCTTTGATACCTCCTTCGTGGACCACAATCCCGACGGCAGCAGTGACTATGGCATTTTCCAGCTCAACTCCGCTTGGTGGTGCGACAACGGCGTTACACCCACCTGGAACCTCTGCCACATGGATTGCCGTGGTGAGCAACCACTTGGGATACCCTGAAGCCCTGCCTGGCCCCACTTTCTCACACACAGAGGGAAAGGTTGTCTAGGCCATAATCTTCAGCAACAAGCATCGTTAGAAAAATGATGAGAGAAAGGAGCAAAGTTGCCTGGGCTGTTAGAGACACCATTATGGATCATTACCCAGACTGCACTGAGAGGTTGTCTAGGTCAGGAGGACTCAGAGCTCCAAAACCTCACCCAGAATGGAAGCTGCCATTTTCTGGGACTCAGGAAACAGGAAACTTAGCTCCATGTGAAATGGAGAAAGTATTCTGCTTTGGGGTTGGAGTTGTTCAGGATAAGTCAAGATGATGGTTGAGGTTGTCCAGGCCCTGAGGGAAGAAGCAATTGTCTGACTGTAGGAACAGAAACAAACTACCTCCATGTAGAAAGGAGAGAACTTGGTTCCAGACAGGAGTATTGTGTTGTTGAGGACAAAATAGTTGAATTTATGCAGGGTTGGCCAAAATAGTGGTTAAGGTTGTCCAAGACAGGCCAAAAAGGAAACTGAGGTTATTTGGGACCAGCCCTAATGGAAATTGTCCTGCCAACATGACAGAAGAGGTCACCCAGGATTGGTCAATTTGAAGGTTGAGGTTTCCAGGAGTGACCACCACAGAAGTTGAGGTTGTCTATGACAGGCTAACAAGGAAATTGAAGTAGTCCAGGATCAGCTAAAATAGAGGTTGAGGTCCTGGATCAGTCAACATGGAGGTTGAAGTTGTTTATAACAGGTCAAAATGGCAGTTGAGGTCATCCAGGACTGACCAACATGGCAACTGAGATTGTCCAGGACTGGTCAAGATGGTGGTTGAAGTTATTCATAACTAGTCAAAATGTCAGCTGAGGTCATCCTAGTCCAGCCAGTATGGCAGCTGAGATCATCTAGGACCAAGCAGCATAGTGGATGAGGTTGAACAGGATTAGCCAACATGGAGATTGAGGTCATTTGTAACCAGTCAAAATGGTAGATAAGGTTATCCAGGACCTGAGAGCACAGTGTTTGAAGTCACTAGGACTGACCAACATTGCGGTTGAGTAGTTTCTCAACCAGTCAACATGGTAGTTGAGGTAGTGTTGGACCAGCCAGCATTATAACAGTTAAGACCATTCATAACCAGACAAAATGACAGTTAAAGTCATCCAGAACTGTACAACATGGAGTTTGAGGTTATCCAGGACCAGCCAATATGGTATATTAGGTTATTCATAACCAGCCCACATAATAGTCAAGGTCATCCCGGATCAGTCAACATGTTAAGGTTGTACAGAACCAGCCAACATGGCAGTTGAGGTAACTAATAATCAGCTGACAAGTGAGTCAAGGTCATCCAGAATCAGACAGTGTGATGGTTGAGGTTATTCAGGCCCCAAGGAACCCAGAACCTCTGACTCCCCTCTATACACTGTCATCATGACCCCAGTGCACCGGATTACTGTGTCCCTCTCTTCCCCCCAGACCTGCTCAACCGCCATCTTCTGGATGACATCCTGTGTGCCAAGCAGGTCGTGTCCTCAAGAAATGGTATGACTGCCTGGTGAGTTCATGGGGATGGCCTGGACCCTGGGCAGCCGGGATAGTGGCACCACTGCCCCATCAGCCTATCCACTTCATCCTCCCTCCCTCCCTCCCTTCGTTTCCCAGGGATTCTTGGACCAAGCACTGTTATGGCCATGATTTATCTGAATGGCTCAAGGGGTGTAATATGCGTGTAAGAATTGACTCAAAGAAAATGAATTCATAACTCAGATTCCCAGAGATAGAGATTTTTTTTTCTTTCTTTTGTGGATTTAATAAAGGATGGTATCTATAAACAATGCAAGAGAACCTCTAATGCCTGACTTCCTTCAACTTTCCGATGCCTGGAGGTGCCCCCATTCAATCACTTCCCTCATATATTCAAATCCCTAAGCAGAGGACACCAGATCACTCGGGACGACAGGATAGTGTTCTCCTGGGTTCAAATCCCAGCCCTATCACTTATTAGTTGTGTTGCCTTGGGAAAGGTACTTAATTTTTCTGTGCCTCAGTTTCTTCATCTTAAAATGATGATTATAATGATAGTAACTATCTCATGTGGTTGTTGGATTAAATAAGTTAATGTTTGTAAAGCATTTAAAGTACTTGGTACACAAGACACTTATAGGTCTGGAGATAGAGGGGTGGGGTGGTAGAATATGAAAATTGACTTCCCTTAAAAATAATCACTCAGTTGAGGTCAGCATAGGGTCTTTAATCAAGGCAGATACAGTCACTTGGGAGGGGGGATAGAATTGGTTTCAGCTTACATCGGAAGCTCAGTGAGAATTAGCAGTTAGAAGTATTCATACTCTCCCACATCCTCCCACATATTACCATTCTAATTCTCAATGCCTTCCCATCTCCTCTTTCAAGATCAATGTCCTAAATTTCAAATGACATACTGGGAATTTAGGCCAGGAATTCAATGGATGCATAATGTAATAATTCCTTTTTACAGAGTGCCTGGGTTTCAGTCTGTATCTTCAGCAGAGAATTTAGGAATTTGAACTTGCCATTTTTGCTCTTTGTGCTGGCCAGCCCCACTGGAAGTTACCCCCATTGTCCTTGAGTCTCTCATGTCCTTCATACTCTGTTTGGAAGTGGATACTCAATTACCTAAAGCCTTGCTTTCAGTGTTCACTTCATCCAAGACTAAGCACAGATGATCATTAAAAGAGCTATTTGCCACTGCATGCCAAGGAATGCCCCGAGCCCCTTCCTTAATGCCAACTGTATTTCCCCTGCCTTCAGTCCAAATCAGCCTGGATAACCAAATCTCACATCTCCCTGAAGGTCCACAGAAGGTGCTCTCTGAATGCAATAGAGGTACTCATCCAAAGCAGCAGAAACCAACTCTGGTATATTGGGTAGCTCATAGTATTTCTGGGAAGACTGCATGATCAAGCTCAGGATGGGGGCAAGGTACACACATAGAAACACAGACAAAATCACCCCCACAGAATGGGCTGGGGTAGAAATTCTGGCAGTATTAGCTGTTGCTACTTCTAGAAACAGGATTTGATGCCCTAGTGTTGTTTTGTTTCCTTACATTGTTCTGACTGTGTTTCCATTCTAATAATTTGTAACATTTACAATATTTTTCATTGTTGTTCCTTTAGTGGTTATCTTTAAATCTGTAACTTTATATCATTTGGTAAACCCACATTTCTTATAGATGACATTTATTCCCCATTATAAGAGATGACAAAACAGCTTAATAATAGTAGATTTTATTACTTTTTATGAGAATCTGGTATTATATCTGGAAACTTATTTCCCTTATATTGTTCCTATGGGACTATGTTTATTAAAATTAATTAAATTGGGTTTCCCTTGATACATGTACCCAGATTTATTGTGAGATTTGGCTTCCAACTGAAGGCTCTCCTATAGTCAAGGTTTCAGAAGATTTCATTCTTAAACAACCTCTCCAACATAAAATGGTCGTGCAATATAAACCCATGATAAAAGTACAAAGGCCAAGATTTTTGCTTCAGGACCTTGGCTTTCGCTACTCCTTCTGCCTAGAATACTCTTCCCACCAGTATGACTGTCACTTCCTTTTTTCAGGTTTCAGTTCAAATGTCTCAGAGATGTCTGTCTTCCATGAACACCCTAGTTAAAGCATGAGCTCCCATCTCACCTTTTCTTGTCTTGCTCTGTGTGGTATTCTGGCTCCTAGAAGGTACTGAAGTATTTCTGAATGAATCAGTTAATGAAGTTATTAAATTCTCAAAGTTTACATCATGAGTTTTCTAATGTACTATATAAACTAAACTTAGACTTTTCCATGAAGGATTTTCCATTTTAAGTCCTTTCATAAGGCTTCTCTTGTCTCTGAGTTCTTTAAACCATGATGAGTTTTGACTTCTAGAAGGTTTTTGTCATATTCAGGACAATCATAGGATTTCTCTCCTATGTGTGTTCTTTGGTGTATAGTCAGTTTTGACTTATCTCTGAAGGATCTACTAAACTTATTACATTTATAGGGTTTCTCTCCTGTAGGAGTTCTTTGATGCATAATGAGATATGAGTTCTGGAAGAAATCTTTCTCACATACATTACACTCCTAGGGCTTCTCTCCTGTGTGAACTCTCTGATGAATAATGAGGTATGATTTATAGAAGAAAGCTTTATCACATTCATTGCATTCATAGGACTTCTCAAATCTTTCTTTTGTATGAGCTCTCTGATGTAACATGAGATATGACTTCCAGGAGAAGACTTTCCCACATACAGTACATCCATCAGTTTTTTCTCCTGTGTGAATTCTTTGATGAGCACTGAGACTCAATTTAAGGGTGAAGGCTCTCCCCCAGTCTGAACACACATAAGGTTTCTCTCCTGTATGAGTTCTTTGATGTCTATGCAGTGTTGATTTCTCTCTGAAGGATTTGCTACATTGATTACATTCAAAGGGTTTCTCTCTGGTGTGCATTCTCTGATGTACACTGAGGTGTGCTTTTTGATTGAAGGTTTTCCGACATTCAGAACATTCAAAGGGTTTTTCTCCTGTGTGAGTTCTCTGATGTATGATAAGCTTTGTCTTTTCTCGGAAGGCTTTGCCACACTCATTGCATATATAAAGTTTCTCTCCTGTATGAGTTCATTGATGCATATGCAGCGTTGACTTCTCTCTGAATGACTTGCCTCATTCATTACATCCAAAGGGTTCCTCTCCTGTGTGCATTTTCTGATGCACACTGAGATGTGTCTTCTTGTTGAAGGCTATTCCACATTCTGCACATTCATAAGGTTTCTTTCCTGTATGAGTTATTTGATGAACAATGAGTGAATTCTTGCTGAGGGTTTTTCTAAACTCAGGAAATTCATAGGATTTCTCTCAAGTTTGAGCTACATCATGCTGAACAAAGGATGGGTTATGATTAAGGCCTTTCTCATATTCATTATGGTCTTGGGATTTCATTCTATTATTTTTCTCATGCCTGCTATGAATTAATAATTCCCCACATTCATTACATTCATAACACTTCTGAGCTTCAAAGCTTCTATTATGACTGAATAAGACTAAATTATCTTCAAAAATTTTACCATATGAGTCATATAGAGAGGGTGTTTGTACTGAAGAAACCACCCATGTGTTCTGAGGAAGTGGGTTTATAAATCCATTACATTCATGACCTCTCTCTTTAGTGACAGTTTTCTCATTACTGGATATAGTTTGCATCAGGTGTCTATTTTGTTTTTTCTGGCACCTCTCCAGGTGGTCATCAACTTGCTGGACTTCTAGAAAGAAGAATAATAAACCATATCATGTGAATACACCTTTTTCAGAAGCAGGCCTCCCGTGGGATTGACTCTTATTTTATTTTAGGTCTAAATACCAATCATAAAGAAATTCCCAAGTGTATGTCTTGCCTACACTCTGAGCTTGAGGGAAAAAAAATTATCGAACAGAAATTGGAACAGGAAAGTAACAATAAATATAATTGACTTTGATTGTTTAAGAAAAATATCTTAAAATTGGGGAGATAAGATGGAAATAGGTTTAGGGAACCATGAGTAGGAAAAAAGATGTTGGAAGAGTAGCAGATCCAGGACTGAGGGAAGGGAACTCAAATAGAATGGAAAGAGCCTTTCATGAATGCTGAAAACAACTAAAGTAACCAATAGAATAAGCAGAAGGATTACTCCAGATTGTAGTCTAGTTCCTCACATGTCATTCCAGTATCACTGTGAGACAATAACTCACAAAACTAACAGTGTGGAGTTAGCACCAAAGATCCATATCCTTTAGGAAGATATTTCTAAGCTTTCAAAGATGTCCAGCCCTCACTGATCCACTGGGGTCTTACTCATCATCTCCCATCTGTTCTCATTGGACTCACTTACCTATACAACTCAAACCTGGGGTTTCTCTCTCTATTTTCCAAAGTCCTTCTTTCTCCAAAGATGTAATCACACCTGGTTTGGCAACAGGACACCCTGTAATGGGAAATAATATAACACTTGGGCACATCTGTGTGGGCTTCAGGATCCCAAAACAATTAGGAAGGTATATTTTAATGTGGGTAAATTTCACATGGGAGACAAAAATACAAACACCTTGTTCAGCCTAAGTAGTATTAAGAATCTTCAATCCCTGGAATTTGAGGTCAAAGTGTTGAAGCACTTCAGAGATAAAAGTCATTCTATTGGATATACTGTGAATTACTCAGGGAAACCATCCTTACCCACAGAGATTAGATGGCTGTAGTTCTCTAGCATTGCATCTCTGTACAGGGTCCCCTGAGTAGGGTCCAGTCAATGCTATTCCTCCTGGGTGAAGTCCACAGCCACATCCTCAAATGACACTGATCCCTGAAATTGTATACTTCTATTCAATCAGTTTGATAGAAATTAAAGTGATTATATTTTTTAAGAAGAATGGAATATTCTTTAGAGAGAAGCTACTGGTTAATAATTTTGAAAAAGCCTTCTCCAAGATATTTGCAATACATATATCTAGCAAAGGAATTACATACTATAGAAACTATAAACAACTCCTATAAATAAATAAGGAAAATATAAACAATCCAATAGAGAAATTAGAAAAATATTTTAACAGACACTTCATAAAAGAGGATCTTCAAATGGCCAATAAACATATGAAAAGGTGTTCATCATCATTAGTCATCAGGGAAATACAATGAGATACCACTACATATGGCTCAAATTAAGACCAACAATCCAAATATTGGCGAGGATGTGGAACTGGAACTC